GCAATAAGAGGTTCATGATCTGAGCCACAGTCAGTTCCCAATCTTGTTTTTGCTGACTGTATAGAGCTTCTCTATCTTTGGCTGCAAAGAATATAATCAGTCTGTCTTCAGTGTTGACCATCTGGTGATGTCCAGGTGTGGATTTTTCTATGTGTTGTTGGAAGAGGGTGTTTGCTATGGCCAGTGCGTTCTCTTAGCAAAACTCTGTTAGCTTTTGATCTGCTTCATTCCATACTCCAAAGCCAAATTTTCTTGTTATCCCAGGTATCTCTTGACTCCCTACTTTTGCATTCCAGCCCCCTACAGTGAAAAGGACATCTTTTTTGGGTGTTAATTCTAGCAGGTCTTGTAGGTCTTCATAGAACCACTCAACTTCAGCTTCTTCAGCATTACTGGTTGAGGCACAGACTTGGAGTACTGTGATATTGAATGGTTTGCCTTGGAAGTGAACAGAGATCATTCTGTCGTTTTTAAGATTGCATCCAGGTGCTGCATTTTGGACTCTTTTGTTGACTATGATGGCTACTCCAGTTCTTCTAAGGGATTCTTTCCCACAGTAGTAGATATAATGGCCATCTGATTTAAATTCACCCATTGCAGTCAATTTTAATTCACTTGTTCCTAAAATGTCAATGCTCACTCTTAGCATCCCCTATTTGACCACTCCAATTTGCCTTGATTCAAGGACCTAACATTCCAAGTTCCTATGCATTATTGCTTTTTACAGCATTGGACTTTTCTTCCATCACCAGACACAGCCACAACTGGGTTTTGTTTTTGCTTTGTTTTTGTCTCTTCATTCTTTCTGTAGGTATTTCTCCACTGATCTCCAGTAGCATATTGGGCACCTACCAACTTGGGGAATTCATCTTTCAGTGTCCTAGCTTTCTGGCTTTTCATACCATTCTTGGGGTTCTCAAGGCAAGAATACTGAAATGGTGTGCCATTCCCTTCTCTAGTGGACCACATTTTGTCAGCACTCTCCACCATGACCTGTCTGTCTTGTGTGGCCCTGCACAGCATGGCTCATAGTTTCATTGAGTTAGACAAGTCTTTGTTCCATGTGATCTGTTTGTTTAGCTTTCTGTGACTGTGGTTTTCATTCTGTCTGCCCTCTGATGGATAAGAATAAGAGCCTTAAGGAAGCTTCCTGATGGGATAGACTGACTGAGGGGACAACTGGATCTTTTTCTGATGAGCCTGGCCAAGCTCAGTAAATCTTTAATTCAATTTTCTGTTGATGGGCAGGGCTGTGTTACCTCCTTGTTTGACCTGAGGCTAAACTATGGTGGAAGTAATGAAGATAATGGCGACTTCCTTCAAAAGCTGCCATGCATGCCCTGCTGCCCTCAGTGCCCCAGACCCTGCAGCAGGCCATCGCCGACCCACGCCTCCACCAGAGACTTTTGGACACTCACAGGCAATTCTGGACCATCCCCTCGTGAGGTCACAGCTCCTTTCTCCTGGGTCCTGGTGCACACAAGGTTTTGTTTGTGCCCTCTGAGAGACTTTTCCCCCAGTCTTGCGTAAGTTCTGGCAGCTCTTGTGGGAGGGTTAATGGTGACCTCCTGTAAGAGGGCTTATGCCACACCCAGGTCTGCTGCACCCAGAGCCGCTGCCCCCGTGGCCGGCCACTGCTGACCCGCACCTCCTCGGGAGATGCTCAAACACAGTTCTGTCCCAGTCTCTGTGGGGTCTCTGGGTCTTGGTGCACACAAGGCTTGTTTGAGCTCTCTGAGCATCTGTCTGGCAGGTATGGGGCTTGATTCTAAATGTGATTTCATCCCTACTGCCATGTTGCTGGGGCTTCTCCTTTGCCCTTGGACAAGGGGTATCTTTTTTTGATGGGATTCAACATTCTTCTTTTGATGGTTGTTGAGCAGCAAGTTGTTAAATTTTTAGCAAGACATTAGCTACCAGGAGGTAAAAGTGAAAGCCCACAGATTTTAAAAATCCAAGTGATACGGGGCTACTTTCATATTTACCTAAAAACATCATAGCAAATCCATCTTAAGAGAACGTGGGAGGATTTGGTACTGGATGGAGCTTTTATGATCCACTTATTTGTGAAGATGAGGTAATAACACTGTCAGTAAACACCTGTATATACTTTTGGGAAATAGCTGAAATAGGATAACAGCCTATTATATATTAACATGTACTAATGATTGCATATCATTTACAAAATAAAAACCTAAGAGCCATCTTTGACTTTCAGCTTGATTTAAAAAAAAAAAAAAGTGTTGATTATTATGAAAGCCTAAACACCAAATGCCCTGAACTTGTCTCACTATGCCATACCCATTGATTGTATTATATGTGGCATAAAAGGATTCTTGCCACTTGCCTTTGAGAGCTGGTGCTGTGCTTCCAAAACTCACCTTTTTCTTTCTTTTCATCTGTTTTTAATGCTAGTCACACAGACGTCTCCTAAAAGCCTGATTTTGCCTCTTAACTCCTTTTTCTTGCTTTGACACTATTGGATTTTGCAGTCAATGTTTACTTTTCATTTGAAGTTACCTTTCATGTGAATAGTAAATGTCCGCCCTCTACTGCGTTCTTTCTGTTGGGTCATCATCAGTCCTGATTCCTCATCAATTCAAGAGTGGAGGAAGTTTGAGTATGTATGAATACAGACTTACAAAAAATCCAAGCACAATACAGAAACTGAAATTGAATACTAGCAAATAAGACAACATTCCTTCTTTCAGATAATAGCTAGGAAATCTGAGAAGGAGAAAGAAGCAGCACAGAAATGAAACTGTGCAGTGAAGACAGCCACAGAGATAATTCACGCTGTCCTTCTATTTCAAAATAAGCAAAGTGAATAGAAATTCCA